GCATTCCCCCACTAACATCGACCCCTCCGCAACCTTATTGATGTCCCTGCCTTTCCCAGCCTCGCCAGTCACTATTCCACGTGCAACAAGGACAGCGACGGCGAAAGGAGGGTTGCGAAGGAGGTGGAGTCAAGGATATATACCACCTAATAAGTGTGATACTATCGGAGCACCTTTCGACACTTGGAAGATAACCACAACATTGGAATGAGATACAACTCTAGAAGGGAAAATAGGGGATGCCGACGGCTATACTGATAAAAACACAATAAAAAAATTAAACCTAAAACACAACAAAAGCAAATATATAATACTAGGGTAACTAGGAGTGGGCTCCTTTGCTTGAAAGACGTGGTACTCCCTTTGAAGGAGTTGAACCGGTCCAGGCATCCCGCGCCTTCAGTGTTCATTGACTCCCACTCCAGAATTTATGTATATTCATAACATTAGCAATGGTTTTGAACTATCAAACCCATGTATTCACACGTTGTCTTTATAAAATTAGCACTCATGTTTCACGTGCTGCTGCCTGGACGGTTGTCTATTTTAGGTCCTAAATCCTTCGCTAGAAAACTAAAGATGCAAAATTTCTACTGTTTCATTACATTCTTCATTTTGTTTGGATATTTATATACATAGCACCCAAACTTTTTCGTATTTATAAAACTAGCACTCATGTTATTTTTAATGTGTATAATTCCTTTGCACTGACACAGGTTGGGCAATATCCAAGGCATGTTATTAGCCTTTTCTTCAGGCTGCTTTATCCCTGGTATTGGCCATCCTCCTGCTGGAACTTCATCAAAGTGTGTATAACAACCATCATCCACTCTCTACTTAGACTGCTCTTTTCAAGTTGGGAAAGAATCACCAAATCAACGAATGATTGAACCCCCAAATATATTCATCCCCATGCTCTGTTTTCGTGGGACTTAGAATGAAGAAGTTATGAATACGAGCTGATATGCACGTGCGTGTTTGCGTGTTTGCGTGTGTGCGTGTGTGATTATTTGTTGTTCTTGAATTAGTACATATTTGATGATTGGGATGTTGAATTGTGCTTGTTCTTTGGGAGATTGCGATGTATGAGATTAAATGTAATGGTTAGATCAGGGTTTATGAAGCACATACAAAGATGCAGGCATCACAAAGGGCATGTAACATTTGTTATGCTTGTTCTTTTGGAGGTTGCGAACTACGGGAATAATTGTAATGGTTAGATTAATGTTTATGACGCACAGAAAGAAACATGTATGAGCGTCACACGAGCATGAAGAAAAGTTAGATGTGGCATAATCCTACACAGTGAGCTATTCAGAAGTGTTTGTGCGTCATAGGACGAGTCTATTAGTTATTTGGAATATTAGATACTATTTTGAGGTTAATTTTAGGTGTTTTAATGAGTTATTATATAGTCTATAATGGCTACACCCTTTGAAAGACTTAGGGTTATTTAAAATGAATAATTTATGGCTGCTCGATTGCTATTGATGATTATTTGTAGTTGTAGGAGTTGCCATTGTAGTCAAATGTACGGATGGCTAATCACTGGTGGTCACGTTGTTATACACCTCATTGGTTGGTAGTTGATGTGCAGATGTCCGGACGTAATATTTTTTTTTTCTGAATTACAATGTAAGCAAATAGTTGTCTCTAATGGACATTTATTAAGATATTATATATTAACATAGAAAACATCTTAATTATTCATTAATATGTAATTAATTTAATGAAATTAAATTAAATTATAATTAATGCTGATTTAGTAACTAACTTTGTTTTGTTAAACATAATTATAAACTTAATGCTCCTGACTAATCTAGCCTTAAATCAAGCTCTTGACTCTTTATGTAATGTATTTTTAAGTAATTAATATTGATATTGAATTGATGGAATATTTAAACGTGGAATTTACACCTTCGCAGTTATTTACAATTATAAAACCTAAATTTACTTCTTATATGTATAATTAGTTTAATTTCTGAAAATTAAAAAATATATTTTTTATGTATTTGCACGAAGGCATATATGTAAAAGTTGAAGTTTAAATATAAGATATGTAAATACATGAAAATTAAATGGTGTTTATGTAAATATTCCTTTAAGGAATGCAAATATGTAAATCACATGATTTAATATTAATAGTTGTAACAAGAGAATTCTTGTCAACATTAATTATGCTAATTAAATTATGATAATTAATTTTTTAAGCAACCTCATTTAGATAATTTGAAGTGGTAGAACTATATTAACGTTTTAGCATTGTACGAAGATTTATCACATGCACTCACAGATAGAAGAACAATGGATAGGAAGCGTTAGGAATTTTTAAGCTGAAAATCAGAAAGGGTAAAAATCACGGATCATAGCTTGATGATTCAACTATTGAAAATTTTAAGATTAATATTCATGTTTGTCTTCTCTTAAAAAATAGAAAATGTTAGTCATATTCATAAAACTGACTAAATTTGGAAGCGGTCAATACATTTTATCCTATAATAGATGAAACAAATATTGAGCGTAGATGTCGCACCTACGAACTTTAACAACGATTAAGCGGAGGAAAAAAAAAGCGTGGCCTCTGGTGGATCGCAGTCGTTGTCCGTAGTTGCTGCATCTCCACCCAATATTTTCTCATGAGATAAATTTCTTCCAGTAAAAAATGTGTTAATTACACATCGTACAAATCGAATTTGGAGATAACCATAGCATGTAGTCTTACAATGAGGTAACTGACTTCTCTTGAAAAAGTGTAGACTGCCCTCATTGAACACACTAAATTTACTGGTGATCAAGGCTTGTAGTCTTGTGCCATGAGACAATTGCTTTCCCTTAAAGAGGTGTTGACTTCCATCTTTAAACAAATTGGGTTTAGAGGACATCAATGACCATAATTTTACGACGAAGCAACTGTCTTCATTGAAAGAATGGATGACTACCCTCAGACAAACCAAGTTTAAAGTGGATCAAGGCCCATGGTCCTACGATAAGACATCTATCTTTCCTTAAAAGAGGTTGATTTTCGTCATCAGACATACCGGGTTTGAATATAATAAAAGCCCATAGTCCTGCGATAAGGTAACTATTTTCGCTTGAAAAGTTGTATTGATTACCCTCATCGAACTGAACATCTTTTGAGCCAATCACAGTCTATAATTCTATGATGATGCACATGTCTTCCCGCGAAAGAGGTGCTGATTGTGCTCATTGGATATAATAGATTTATAGGCAATCAAAGCCTATAGTCCTACAACGAGGCAATTATTTTCTCTTGAAAGAGGTGTTGAATCACCTTCATCATGCATACTAGGTTTGGATCTTTAGTAATATTAATATTGTTAAGCATTGACGTTGACTTTAATGTTATTGAACTAAGCCATGGATGCCAAAAAGAAAGATGTCATTTGTTGAAAGTTGTAGTGAAGATGAAGGCTATGAAATACCTTAAAAATTATTGAACATGATAATCTCGTGTATACTCAATTCAAAAAATTATTATTATTATAACACATGAATGTATGTTCCTCTTTTATTTAAATCCACGAGCTTGACAGAAGTTCCAAATCAGTATGTTGATACTTAATAAATTTATGATCTTCAAATTATAGTGTTTCATTTTAAATACATTGCCCCACTCAAAGAATAGTAGGTCATTATATGTCATCAAAATAGATTACTAATGCCAAGAGATTGTAGATACATGCTAAAGGTTAGGTTTTTGTAGTCAGGTGACCACAGAAGATCAACAATTGAATAATGGTAAGCGAGCAATAGCTCGGCTGACACGTTTTGAAGAAATTGAAAAAGTCACCATGAATGTTTGACAAATATGAGGTTGTCTATTGAAGTGTTACCCAATAGCAATAACATTAATAAATGTGGAAGAGTTTAATGAAATCCACTTTTGATATTTTATTTATTTGAGATTATTTGTCAAGTGTTACTAGACGATGTTAGGCTGTGTAGAAAAGGTCAATGGATCTTTGTCTCATTTGAGGCTATTCATGAAAGCATTACTCGATGTTGTTAACATGTGTATAAAATATATAAGAAAATCCTTTAATGATGTTTGGCCTATCTGAAACTATTTGTGCAAGTGTTACTCGAAAATATTAGTCTATGTGGAAGAGAATGAATACAATCTACATAATATTTTTTACTCATCTAAAATTATTTGTTAGTGTGTTACTTAACGATGTTCAAATCAACTTGAGGATCGATTATACCTCAATTTGAAAAAGACGATTAACTCATGAATTTTGAGCAAAGGTAAGTTTGATATGTATTTAGACCATTATTTCCCTTTAGAGGTCATGATCAATCGTACCTCAATTTGAAAAAGATGATTAACTCATGAATTTTGGGCAAAGGTAAATTTGATATGTATTTAGACCATTATTTCCCTTTAGAGGTCATGATTATGTCATCATATAGACAATAGAAGTCTAGCTAAAGACTGAATGTAGAGCTCAAAATATATTGCTGGAATTACTTGTATTTATGAGAAGCCTTGAGAGAAATAGTTGCTAATAATGTTACCCGAGATGTAGGTAACTAGTTTAAGTATAATCATGTCTAAGATTTTGAAATGAGTGGTATTTCAAGATTGTTGTGAAGGTTGTCTCCAACCAAGAATTAGTTCTCACTTGATTTCTAAATGGAAAGTAGAATGACTACCCAACCATTACTCTGCCCAGGACATTGATATGAATGGTCTGGTGACGCGACAAAAATTAGTTACCTTACAACAACCATGCATAAGACAATGAAGCAATCTACATTTGCCAACCTACACTAAATTGACACAAACTTGAGATCCTTGGTTTATATTCCTTGAGGCATTCTTATAATTTCACATGGGTTACTTAATATACTACTTTTGACCACTAATAACTTATATCTATAATGTTATGTGCTTTAGTGGGATGAATAAGGTTAATGCAGGAATATAACCACATTAATTATGAGTAAAAGTACTCAAGATGAAGCCCTAATAATGATTCCCGCAGTAACTCATGATCCGTCACTAGATTAACTCATTGGGAGATGATGCTAGAGGACTATCGTCCTAATTAAGGGTTATGGTCCTTAAAGATTGCAACAAGTTGTGAAATGATTCTTATCCCTCAAGGTTAAATCTTCTCGAATCAGACATCGTAGCTCATTGCAGGTTAAATTATCGAGAGCGCTAGTAAGATGAGGTTAGGCCACATTTCCTATGAGTGTTAGAGGGTCGATAGGGTCTTATGGGATAGAAGAGTGAAATTAGTAGTATCAAGGAGGTCGATGTCCTTGTCCGGCGAAGTAGGAATAGCTTGGAGGAGGTCTCATATGGGTATGCTTGTGTTGGGCATTCCTTACTAGCTATTGATCTTGGGGCAAGTAGACCCTATATGTTTATGCTAGCATCGATTGTTAAACCTCAGTAGGAGAGGAAGAATCTCATTCGGAGACTCCTTCATCCTCCTCACCATGTCCTCTGAAAACATACCTAAAGTGTCTACGCTATAAGGATAACGACAGTTGAGAGAGAAAAATAGAGGCTACACGTCATAGGCTCTGAGATTGTCCCTCAAAATCAAATTGTGTTGGAGTGGATCCTTCGTTATTACCTGTACTATATTTCTTAGCCTCTCGCTATAAGGATAACGGCAGTTGAGAGAGAAAAATAGCGGCTACACGCCATAGGCTCTGAGATTGTCCCTCAAAATGAAAAGTGTTGGAGTGGATCCTTCGTTATTACCTGTACTATATTTCTTAGCCTCTTAGCAATATCACATATTCTGTATGAGTTGGATTGCTTTCTTACCAAATGTGTTACACTGTTGCTTGTCAATGAACTCACAGTGGTATAATTATATTAATGTCTTAACATTATACGAAATCTAATACATATACAAATAAAATAAGAGCTGATATATGAGATAAAAAGGATTTTATGTGGAAAAGCTGAAAGGTAAAACAATGGTGCTTAGCCCAAGTGAAATGATTCCACTATTTATATATATGTTACAAGGCTTTCCTAGCAAATAATATTACAAGCATGGGAGAAAATGTTGGGGAAGTGACATCAACCCTACTGCAATGATGGAAAACTGACGATAGCGGCTGTATGGTGTAGACATGGATTCATTATCATCGATGGCTATGTCCACTATAAAACAATGATCTAATGATGGAGGTCTAATGGTGGAAATGTCGTTAGATGAGAACCAATGGCCTGATAGTAATTATAATAGTGACCAATCAACAATAACAAAGATAATGTCATTAGTCATGTGGTAGTGGCTTGGTGGCTAATAGTGAAGGTTGATAATGACCCAATAAAGGCGGTAGTGCTCTTGTGACGACAACAACAACTACAATGTTAGCAAGGCAACAATTGTCTAATGACAATGGCTATGATCCTGTGACGTCAACCGTGTGACAATAGTATGACTGTAACAACGACTTGGAGATAAGGATTCGATAATGGCGACAGTGGCGTGGGCAGTACCTTTTGCTAGGCAACAGTGGTCCACCATGAAGGCAACGGATCAACAGTAATTTGATGGTGGAAGTGGTGGCTCGACATCGGTCAAGTGATGGTGGTCCGATGGAGGCGGCAACCTGACAACTTTTGTTCGGCACTGCTGCAGTGTATTAACATTAGTGATCTGACACGATGACGGTGTCCCACAATGGCGTCCTGATGGTGGTGGAGCTCGATAATTTTTCAGAGCATAAAGCTCCTTTTAATATTCACATCTCAACCGAACCCCCTTCATGAAGAGTGTTTTATTTATAGATTTGGGAGTTGAATTCTTTGTAAATCTGCATGAATCCAATTCATTTAATCAGACGTCCCAAAATGATTTCCTGGATCAAATGTTGTTTTATGAGTATTTAAGTTCTTTAATGATGTTGAAATTAAACAATCTCAGACTCATTTGATTTTTCTTGTCAAGACGCTAGGTTTGATTATAATTTTGCAATATTTAGAGATATTTGGTCCCCAAAATATATTTCATGACTTATATTTATATTTTAAGTGCATGATCTAGGTTCACTTAGATTCATATAACATCATTTTTTATGTCACTTAATTTGTCTCATTGTTACACTTATTTCATTATAAATTTGAGTGCTGACGTTTTTTTATAATTGTTTTGTAGTTTTCATCAAAAGAATTGTTTCATACATATCAAAGCCAATTAACTATTGTTAATTAATTTTAATCAAATTAAATCATAAATAATATCTATTAGCTTAATTTAATATATTTTTTAGTTATTTGTTAATAATTATTAAGTTTAACTTAAATTATTTAAATGTATGATATATATATA